AGCTTGATTAGATTGATTTGTTTATGACTACAGGGTAGAATTAAAGACCAATGGACAATGTTTATTCAGAGGAAAATTTCATCTTCATATAAAGAAAAACTTCCTAATGTCAGAGCTGTCCAAAAGTAAAATAAACTGCTTGAGTGTATGAGCTTTCTCTGCATAGCTACAAGTTAAGGCTAGATGGTCAACTGCTGAGGATATCAGAGAAAGGATTCCTGTTTTAAGTATGCGTTAGACTAGATGAATTCTAAAAACTGCTTCCACTTCAAGATTCTGATTCTATATTTCAAAAAAAAAAAATTGAAGACAGAAGTAGAAAATTTTACCTCACTGAGTTTGAACACACAACCAAATCTAAGCTAATAAATTTATTTTTCATTCCATTCGGAGATTGCTAATCAAATGAGATAATGTCCATATAGTACTTACAACAGTGACTAGCATAGTGGTAGGCATTGTGGTAAAGTGGTAGGTAAATGTTTGTTCCCTTTTTCCCCTAGCTAGAACCTGGATTACTTCTTCCTAGACTAATATACTAGGTCAGATGTACTAAAAATGGGGATAGGGGGAACCCCTAAAAGCTTAAACTATTTTTAGTTTTAGTCATGATTTTCAAGTGGTCTGATGATTTTTAGATTATCTGTCCTTGACCTGTTTTCCAGGTTTGCAAGAGAATATATCTTCCATTTTCTTCTGTATTTTCAATTTTTTAATTAGTTTTAACATTTCTTGTTCTCTGATAAGAGTAACTATTTTCTATCTGTCCCATTCTAATTTTCACGGAATTCAATTCCTGGGTAAAGTTTCTTATTATTTGTTCTAAGATATTAGTTCCCTTTGCCATTCTTTCTTCCCTGTCTTTTTTTTTTTTTTCAAACAATATATTTTGTATCTCTTTTTTGTTTCTCCCAGGTACTCTTGCAGTCCTTGTGGCCAAGGACATTCTTTTTTTCTCAAAGTATACTTGCATGTGGTATCTTCTGGGTTTGCCTCTTGGGATTCTCTCAAGTTCGTATTTTTTCATTGTGTTTGACATTTTCTTGTGTTACTCATAACTCTAGCTTCAGTTTCTACATTGAGGCTTTGCGCTTGGGCCAGACTATGCTCTCTCCAGTATTCTTGGAGGTCCTGTTTGGTCCTGAATACAGCAGTTAAGAGTAGGCCCTACCATCTGAATGGACTCTTAGGTTTTTGCTCAGTGTCCTAGTAACCTGACTCAGGTGCTTTGGCCTTGGTTTCTTCATTGTCTTCTTCTTGTACATTCCTGAACCCTAGTTGGTTCTATCTCTTGAAGTGATCCTGACAGATCCCATCTAACCAGGTGTTTTTGACTGAGGTGGTAAGCAGGCCTCCAAGTACTCAGATGCTTTGCTTTCTAAGTCCTGGTCTTTTTTCATTCTGGGGCACCAGCAGGTTGGCTAGGTCCTGTGCTGGATGTGTTGGACACCAGTCTGCCCTTCATCTCCTGCAGTGGCTCAGGTGGGGTTTGGTTTGGCCTTGTCTCCTGATGTGGGATGTGGCTGCTATGCATTCTGCATTTCACATACGCTGGTTTGCCTATCCTCAGAACTTCCAGATGATTCTGGCAGACCTTTTACATGGCCCTAGACTGGATGGAGGAGCTTATATCTGTTACTCTTGAAATTTCTTAATTATTATTCCTTCTACAGCACTTTACTATGAAAGATTTACTGTAGAGTATATAGGGGATCTGAGTTCCTCTAGATCCTAACACAATACAATCTTCTTACAATGCCATATTTTGGTTTTAAATTTTCATTAAGAAAAAGTTATTTTTTCTTTTGTAAAGTTTTTACTTCCAAAATGTGAAATAATCTTCTGTGGTTCAAAGCAAAACAGTTTCATAACTCTGACTGAAAAATAACAACAACAAACAAAAAGATTACTGAAACCTAGAAGGCTTAAGGTGATGGTATGGAATGAGGTTGGATTGCCTTTATAACTATATAATAAAATTTTAGAATATCTTCCCATAAGCTTGAAAAGTAGTAACATATTAAATTTAACGGTCCATTAAAAAGTTCATTCTGCCACTATCTGGAAATAGAAACCACATTAAAGTAACTGTCATACAACATATTGCAAATTCTTTTATACTGTTTTCTGAGTAGACAATAAAAAAGAATAGAGTATAACACTGAAGATGGATATAGATTAAAAACAAAACAACAAAAAAAACCCTTATACTACACCAGGATATATAAATTTACTAACATTTTCCTAATACTAAAAATGGTATAATTTATATTTACTTTGTATACATATTAACATATAAGAATCCACAAGTCATTTATCCATCAATTCTTTGAGGATTTATTAAGTGAAAGGCACTATGCTAGGTATTTAAGGGATAAAAATAAACATAAGGTCCCAATCCAAGGACTTTTTAGTCTAGGTAGAGGAGACAACATACAAAAATACATGAATACACAAAAACACTAAGTAGTAAACAACTCAAGGCAGTTGTGCTATGTAGTAAAAATAGACAAGAAAAATCAATTTTAGAACCAAGAAGATAAAAATATGAATTTAAAAGCTACCTGTTCAAGTACAAGAGTATCTGTACCCCTCTTTCACACTTCACTCTTAGTGTAATAATTACTGCTTAAGAAAATTAGAGAAAAGAGGTATGATTGTGGTAGCACTTTTCAAAATGAGACAAAAGGGGGTGGGATCAAGGTACATGTGGAGGTAGCTTTGGGAATACCAAAAGGCTCTTTCCTGGGCCCTATTCTATCCTTTCTCTACAATCTCTCTCTTGGTGACCATATTAAATCCCATGGGTTTAACTGTTGTCTCTATACAAATGACTCACAGATGTATATTATCTAGTCCGAGTCTCTCTCCTGAGCTGGACAAAATAGAAGGTGGCAATAATCCAGGGGTAGGTATCAGCAGGGTGTGAGCATTAAGAGAATGGGGGTTGGGGGATGGATTGGAAACTGTAGGAGAATGCAGAGTGGAAATGGTTAACTATAGATTGATATTGGGAAAGGGAAGACAGTGAGATTGGAGTAGGGATGATGGCCTGGAAGTCTTATTCTCTGACTAGATATAAGCTTCTTAAGGACAGGACTTTTGCCTTATTTACCTTCATATCCTCTTCATGACAAAGCGTGAAGCATTTAATAAATATCTGTTGAATGAAAAATCATCCTAACAGACTTTATATTAACTGCCAGCAAAAATGGTCACAAAACAGAGGTAGGTATTTTCTGGTTGTGGCAAATAAAACACATCTAAAAAAATAATTTTAGAGGAGCCTGGGTTAAATTATTAACCATTGTGACTAGCGCTTCCCAAAAGATCCTGAAGCTTTCCACAACTTTTATTTTTCTATCGCTTTATTGGGCAGAAATTATATATTAATCCAAGAACAAAAACAATGATTTACCTAATAGTTTATTCTGCTAAGTATGAGATTATGCACAGTAGTATAATAGAAAGAAAACTGAATTTGGAGTCAGAAGACCTGGATTTGAACCCTTATTACCTGTGTGACCCTGGATGTCACTATACTTACTGAGTTTCAGTTTACTCATCTGTAAATTGAGAGAGATTAGATCTGATGACCTTTAATGTAATTTCTGGCTCTAAATCCACTGATACTTTAGATTTATAATCACTGATTATTTCAAAGCACTTTCCAATTAATTGTTTCCCTGTTCTTCAAAATAGTAGCTTTTTATATTTCACAGAACTACAAATTTTTAGAGCTGAAAGGGACCTAAGATATAATCTAGGCTAACACCTCAGGGGAAGAAAAAAACTGATTCCTGGAGAGATGAATTTTCTTTTTAAAACACTTGTCATTTCTCATGCATGTCTGAAGCTTTGAGAGTTAAAGTTTCAGGAAAGATTTTATTTTTCCCTCTATGATTGCTGTGTCAGTGAAAGTCATCAGAGACAGCATTTTTTTTAATAAACCTCTTTAAATGGGTTAAACTTAACCAGAAATTCTCTAAACCAGAATATACCATCATTATTCAACCATACCAGTTTATCACCAAAATTTCTAAGCGCCAAAATTTTCAATTTTGGAATGGCTGCAAAGCAAAACTTGAAGCCTTATTTCTCCGGCAAAAGCTCTAATTAAGAACAACTGCATATTCAACCTTGATTAAAAAGAAGTGTTCCAGGGTTGGCAAATCTTCCCATATTCAGATAATAATTATCAACACTAGTTTTGTATCACCATTTCCAAATAACTGAATCTACCTGGAAGTAAATTATATAAATTTAGTCTACTAGCTTTCTTACCTCAGCAGACCTATACACTGAATGTGATTCATCCTTAATAGAAAACATACATGACAGAACATATTTCCAAGAGACTTCTGCCCCCAGTGAGAAAAACTCACCAGTTGTACAAAGTTGGCAAATCTATTTGAAGATATTTTAGTGCCTGGCACTCTTGAAAGTATAGCACTGACCTTTGCTTTTAAGAATAATTTCATAGTTCAGGGAGAAAAAATCATGACTCTACCAACAAAGTAATCACAAAACTTTAGAAAGTAAAATATATAAAATTCCATATTAAGATTCTCAGTATTGTATTCTGCAACAACAATAAATCTTGATTACTGTTCAACTTTGACACGCTTCTATGTTAATGAAAATCCAATTCTATGAAAGCCAATTTTATAAGTAACTTTAAAGAACATTTTATTTAAATGAACTTAGTTTTACAATCTGAATGATTTCAAAACTATTTACTATTTAACATACTTCAATAACATATTTTGAGGGGCAGCTAGGTGCCGCAGTGGATACAGCACCAGCTTTGGAGTCAGGAGGACCTGAGTTCAAATCTGGTCTCAGACACTTGACACTTACTAGCTGTGTGACCCTGGGCAAAGTCACTTAGCCCCATTGCCTAGCAAAAACAAAACAAAACAAAAAAAAATGTATTTTCAGATACTCAAAACACTCAACTCACATACTATCATCTGAGTTCGCTTTTCTTTAAAAGTTACCTTTCGTGCTATAGGTTCCTGACCCTCCATCAATGTGTACCAGCTGACAAGTTTATTCCAGCCTTCAGTTGGCAATAGGATATAATCCAATTCATCAATAAGATGTTCCTTAAGGGACTGAGCATCACCATCTGTGAGAGAAAAGTTACCCTTAATACATAAATGATGTGACAGTATTCATGTCAATGTTTTTAGGACATACATGTTTCAAAATATAAACACAATCTAATTCTTTTTGCTTACATTTTTTATATAGTAGCTTTTAAATACAAGAAGTTTCCAAATACAGATAAAAATGTGCACATCTGAAACTAGATATTATTAATTAACTGGAAAATTATGAAATTTAAATGATAATGTTTAGCTGGATTAGTCTTTTAGGAACTGACTTTAAAAATATATAAAAATGTATTTTAAACGATTAAAAGGAAAAGGTATGACACACAAAATATATGTAATATATATGTGTATATATGTATATGTATATATGTGTGTATGCACACATACAAAATATATGTAATATACACATGTGTATATATATATAAACGTGTGCATACACACACATATTCAGCAGGCAAAAAGCATAATTAAAGATGGACAGTCCATATTCAAACTTTACCATTTGACAGTTGCAAATGGCCCATACATGATCTAGATCCCTCCCCCAACGGATGAGGTTAAGGTGTTAATTATAATAATAACATAGTTAAAAATACTTTATATACATTATCAGATATTTAATCTGTGACCTGGTTGCAGATCTAAATTCCACTCTCAAACTTTCTGTTGGAATGAAATTTCAAAGGCGGACTATCCCAGGGATTTAATGCTAAATTAAGTAGCTATAATCCTATTGGAAATGCTTGTTTTATTTCAAGTTCAGAATAAATCAATGTTTTTTAAAAAAAGTAGTTGTGGTAATACTAAAGAGGAATACTTTCAAGATGATCTGGTCACCTCACATGCATAGTTATATTTGTGTTTTAATAAAGTTTCTTTTAAAGATATATTATAAATTTACAAATTTTGAAGGAAAAAATACAGTGCTAAAGTAATTATATTCTAGCCCTTTGCTGGAAACCAATTGTGTCTATACCTCTGTATTTAAAGTTCAAGTTCAAATAATGTTCCAAAATACAGTTACCTAGTATGGTAGGAACTTTGGGAACAGAACAGCCCAAGAAAAAATAGAGAAACCTATTTTGCTGAAACTTTTTCAGTACTGAGTTTCACTGACTTTACTTTAATTATTTTTTACCAATCTTAGGGGTATGAGGTGGAACTGCAAACTTTGCTTTGTTTTGAATCTCTTTTGATGATTAATCAGATGGAGCATGTTCTTAATTGATTATAAACAATGTGTTTTCTTTTGAAAATTTTCTGCCTGTATTCTTTCAATTATTTATCCATTGGAGGACTAAGAGCTACTTTTGCAAATTCTAAATATTTCCTTATGTATTTAGATGTCTTTTTTACCTGTCACTGTTACTGCTAAACTGTTTAGTGAAAAAATTTACATCATGAATGAAGCAGTTTTTTTTTAAAAAGCTACATAATCCTTTTTCTCCATGAAAGAAAAAAGTCATAACAAGAAATAAACCTAGAGATAGTCTTTCATGACATTTTCTATGTTCCAAATGGCCGAGTACCCCAACAATTAATGAAAAGCAGCAGAAATATTTATATTTTAAGTGTAACAGACTCACATGTAGTATCAATATCAAGACCCCTCAAACCGATGATCAACTAAGTGATTTCTTCATTTCTCAACTGGCTGCAGTACTTTGAGGGCTCTCAAAAGAAGCCATCAAGCCCAAAGCAGCTCATTATTGGGGAAATCTCATCACCCTTCAAGATCCCATCAACCTTAGCACTCCAAAGCACCACCATCCTCCGTTCTTCTGCTTGCAGGGTGGAGCCATGAACTCTTTCATTTAAAGAGGGAGCTTAGCTCAGAACATTTCCTTATTTCTAACCTGGCTGAACTACTTTGGGACTTCCTGGACTTTCTCAACATGCCCCAGGTACTTTCCCTTCCCTTCCCTTCCACCTTTCAGCTTCCTTTTGTGGATTGTCTTCCCTCATTAAATTGTAAGCTTCTTGACAGCAGGGACTGTTTTTTTTCATATTTACATCCACATCAATTTAGCACAGCACCTGGCACATAGTAAATGCTTCATAAATGTTTATTGATTGAGTGACTCATTTGTTTAAAAAATACCTGCCAGTTAGCTCATATGCTCCTTCTTTTTCTCCTCCCTCAAAAGAAGTACTATCAGGAGGTAGATATTAGAAATGGAAAAATCAGTGGGCATTATGGGAGCAGGAAGTATAGAAGATGAAGACCAAAAATACTGACTGTCCCTAAATGTCACTTGTCTACAAGCAAAACAGATGAGCAGTAAGGTTACACTCATCCTAAAGTGGAAAAAAAAAATTTTTTTTAAAGCTGAATTTCCCAGTTAATATTTAAAAAAGACAAAACAACAAAAAAGCCTATGTTACACAATGACTCACTTAATTTAATTTAGTAAATATTCATGCCCCACAGCAGGAAAATAAGTTACTCCAAATTTATGAATATGTTTGAAGGGAGAAAAATAATGCAGGATTAATTTTAGCCTATAATACTCAAGTGACTAGGGGCAGCTAGGTGGCGCAGTGGACAGAGCGCCGGCCCTGGAGTCAGAAGGACCTGAGTTCAAATTTGGCTTCAGACACATAACACTCACTAGCTGTGTGACTCTGGGCAAGTCACTTAACCCCAATTGCCTCACCAATAAAAAATTCAAAAACCAACCCCCCCCAACAAAAAAAAGTCCCCCAAACTCAAGTGATTGTTTTATATCCTTATGACATATGAATTCTACATTATATGACCATAAAACAGTTTTCAACTCACTATGTTTTAAAAGTTTGTCAGTTTGGAACTTCGAATTCATTTCCCCATAGAAACAATGTTATAAATGGTGGTCAGGTGGCTTACAATATCGTATAAATGCCCATTTTAAACCCTTAATGTATCAGAAGCATAATAACGTATCAAGAATATTAGAGAACCTAACTATAGTATGTAACAATGTCTCTACAGGAAGAAGTATTCAGAGATTCAATATGGCATGTAAAGACCTCACCTCCTACTGTAGTGGAGGGTTCAAGGATTCCTCATCAAAGGATTTCTAGTCCAGCTAGATAATGGGGAGGAGGATGGCCCTCAAGCAACTAGTGATAGCTATCACTGGCTGGGAAAAGGCTGGGGGAGATGTTTGAGAGGCAGGGGAAAGCATGTGAAGATTGCAGAGAGGAAAGGGCTGGAGTTTATGCTGCTATTCTCCTCAGGACACTTGGCTTTAGCTGGTTCCTTGGTCATCTTTCTCTCCTTTCTTCTGCTGGCGTCAAGTACTGGCCTAACGCTTTCCTTTATACTACCCCCCACCTACTAAGAAAGGGGAAAAGGGAATAAGCAAGAATTTATATGCTTCTGAATCATATAAATATGTATTTATTTATATTACAAATGCTAACTAGTATTGTTGTTATTATTATTTAGCACCAGCTATGTACTAGGCACTGTACTAAATACTTTACAAATATTATTTCATTTGATCTTCACGTCAACCCTGCAAGGCAGGTGCTATTATTATCCCCATTTTACCGTTTTTGAGGAAACTGAGACAAACAGAAGTTAAGTGACTTACCTAGGTTGGACAATACTGGTAAGTGTCTGAGGATGGGCTGGAACTAGTGGAGTGAATAGAGGATTGGGAGTTGGAGTCAGGAAGACTTAGGTTCAAATTCTGCTACGATATTTATTTAGCTGTATGACCACAGGTAAGTCACAACATCAGAGTCTCAGTTTCCTCCTCTGTGAAATGATGATAATTATACCTACAGTTCCTACCTCATAGGGTTATGAAGCTCAAATGAGATAACGTTTACAGTCTTGTACAAATTTTAATGTGGTAAATGAATTTTGTTTCAGACCATGGTTTCTCTTTTTCTAAGCCCATTTAAAAACAAAACAGTCTCAAAGCTTTCACCCAATCCCTAAATCAAGGACCCAGGCATTTTAAAATGCACCCTATTAAACTGGTCCTTCTTTGTCTTTTTTACATAGACCCTCGAGGGGAAGACAAAGAATACAGGGGGCTGTCTGGGTATGGTTTCTCCTGATTCTCTGTCCAAGAAGTGGGAAGCAATGATGCACTTGGAATCATTAGCTCTCCAAGTCTCAGCTCAAAGTGTTCACTTTCCTGGTGCCCTGCCACCCTAGGTCACTGGTTATCTCCTCTGGGTGTGCCTTGTTCACACATAGTTCATCTTTATACATGCTGGCTCTCCTCTTAGAATGTAAACTCACTGAGGGCAGGGACTGCTTTTCTTTTGTCTTTGCTTAGGACAGTGCCAAGCACATACAAAGCATTTAAGAATTCCTTAACTGATAAGTAATCTAGGCAAATTATTTAACCTCCCTGAACTTCAGGTCTCTTCATCTGTAAAATGAGAAGAGTAATGCTTATTATATTCTTTCTCATGAAGATGTTGTAAGGCAATCATCTTTTAAAAGTTTAAAATGCTACAGAAATGTGAATTTTTTAATTATACAAATGACTACATTAAAATTCATCACATTTCAGGAAAAATAAACAGACTTAGGCTGTCCTAAACAGTTCCCAAAAGCTAAGATGGAGGTCTGAAGTAAAAAAGACATAGGGAATGGAGGGGTAAGAATACCATACTGGGGCTTGAGATGAGGGTGGGGAGGAGGAAGAATGGAAGAGCAAGGGGACAAAAGAGGAGTAACAGGAGAGTCACAAAGGATTATACTGTCTTTTTTCAACTTGTATCTAATCCTTGACCGGAACGGGCCCTGGTATAGTAGATGGGAGGAAAAGCTAAGGGTTAGGAGCCTAAGTCAGAAGGAAAGGAAGATAAGAAAGAAAGGTAACACTAAGCTTCAGCACTAAGGGAGAGAATGGAAGTTCCTGTGGCTACAGGACTGAGATGGTGGTATTTTTATGTGAGGGACACACGTATTTAAACTGGGAACTCAACACAGGCTCACATTTATTTCAATTATCTTTTCAAAATACATATATTCCACATTTTATCAAAGTTAATAAAGTCAAATACTTATATTCTTTCAAAATAAGATACTAACTTCATCATAAATAAACAAAAATAGTGATACAGAATACTTTGGCATATCAGGTCCAATATATGAAATCTATAATGCAAAAAAAGTCTAATTCATTAATTCATTTAACACACTGACAGCCTTACTTAAGGAAGACAATAATAAATAACCTTTAAGGAGTCCAGAATTATCAATGGGACCAGGGTACACATTTTGATCTCCCATCTGGTATTTGTCCCAACTGTCAAACCCAACATATTTTTTCCACTGTTTGAACCAACGACTATCCACTAAATACCTAGAAAAGAAAAGAAAAAAAATGTTAAAGAAAACCAGTTTAAAACAAAAAAATCATTCTCCTGGCAATATAGGGACACTCAAAAAACATTCCCCTTTTTCCTTCATAAATTCTTAACAGCCTCAAAGGATTACTGAAAATTATGGTGAAGCACTTAAAGTTATTAGGGGGGGAAAAAAGCACTATCTAAGTATAAAGTATTATTACTGAAAGACTCCAAATGACTACTATTTAGAGGGGGAGGGACTGAGTCATAATTCTTTTGTAACCCTCCCCAGCAGCATCTAGCACAGTGTTAACAATATAGCAAGTATTCCATAAAGAGCTGTTGAAATGAACTGAATCCATTAATCAACATAAGCAATAATTCGAACATGGCTAATGGTTATTTCATTCTTTTGGCAAACACTGAATGAGTAAACTTTCCCTACCAAAACCTACTCTGCACCTTAGTCTCAGAGAGTTGCCTGGGGCACAAGGTTACTTGTCCAGGAGTGGGGCACTTACATGGTTACACAGACAGTATGAATCAGAGGCAATACTTGAAACCAGGTTTTCCTTACTTTAAAGTTGGCACTCTACTCGTTGCTCCAAGCAGTAATTATGATAACCAAATATTCAACACATTTTTTAAAGTGCCTGATCATGTTTAAAGGTAAATCATGATTAAAAAAAAAAAGACATGAAGCAACAAAAAAAATTTACTAATAGAATACATTATGCAAATAATCTTAAACATAGGAGAAATCTGTCATTTCTTTGCCTATAATAAAGACTCAATGCAATACTTTTGTTTCCAACATTTATACTTTGTCCTAGCAGTATTTTATCTACATTTGACTGGGAAATGTTTAAGGTTAACAGATGTGGCCATCTGTTATTCAGGCATGCCATTTATTTATAAGTAGCAGTCTGAAATTAGAATAATATTATGTTATTAACTATATATGACTGAATGTATTTTCAGTCATGTATTAACTATATATTAACAATAACTATTAACTATACCTAAAGAAAAATTTGAGAGCTGGAGAAAAAAGCCAGAAAGAGGCAAATAAAATGATCAAGGAGCTTCTTTCTCTACATGAATAAGGATATGTAATAAAAACCCTTAGGAATCATCCATTTGGAAAGATGAAGATAGAGATAAGACTGGAATGAACACAGATAAGTTCAAGTATACTAGAAAGCACACCTTAAAAGTTAGAAGAATATTTAAGACAAATAAAAGGAAGGATAATTTTCCATAGCAGGTAAAAGATTTATATAACATGTTACACCAAGAATTAGTGCAGAAAAATAAAAATAACTTTAAATTATAAATGAATTCATGCACAGTAAATCCCTAAGGGGCATAAAGTATGTTTTAAGGGTTACTTTCCTAATCCTTAATTGCTGATGTCAGGCAAAGCATAAAAACACATTCCTATAACACATGCTTTTGACATTTCTTATAAAAACAAAACATAGGGCTTGTCTGTTCCAAAATGGCAACTTTTATTTCCTCTATAGGAGTAAACGCCACGGGTGAAAAGAGGATATACTTGTTATTCAAAGACTGAACGTGTTTAAATAACTATGCCGTTTAACTATAAAATAACAGTTATTTAAAGACTGGGTGAAAACTAAGAAATACAAGTCGTCACCATACTGGTGCACATGATAAGAAAATGTACCACAGTATCACAAGTCTATTTTCAGCTTTATAATAATGGAAGAGGGAGGAAATGACAAATTTATTTACAACAACCCCCCCTTCACCCCCCCACAACTTTTAATAGGTTTAAGCAGACTAGCATCCAGAAACTAAAACCACAATAATCTGTTTAGAATACCTGTAAATGCCATAAGCTAACATTTAAAAAAAAAAATAACCTTGAGATGCAGTCAAACACCGAAATCTGAATAGTCAAAGAGAAACTCAATTAAATTCAATACGGTGTTGATGTTAATTCAAAGCAATCTTTTTACTCTCCTCTGTCTTCATTTCACACATTTAATCAGTTCTTTAGTCCTCTGGATTTTCCCTCCACCAACATCTTTCATCCATTCATCCCAACATCTTTCATCCACTCATCCTCCTTTCTATTTCTATCCTTATCTCTTCTCACCTAAACTATAAAAGCTGCTTAAACTAGTCTTCCTGTTCCAATCTGTCCCCTCCTCAATACAGACATTGCTAGAGTAATCTTTAAAATTGACCATTCTGATGTCATCTTTCTAAACTAAAAATCTTCTGAACTTTTTCCTACTGAATAAAGTATAAATTCCTAACCCAGTAGCATTCAAGACTCTCCACAAGATGGTTTCAACTACCTTTCCCCAGCTACATCTCATTCTATTCTCCTTCATGTCCTTTGCCTTCTAGCCAAAGTAGACTATACTTTCTCCCCCATTCTTGTCTTGCCCTCACTATTTCTGTTTTTTGCTCATGTCCCCACCAACATCTCCCTCATATCCACCCCTGTTACAACCCATCTCCACTGAAATCTATTGAGTAGAGGGATGGTATGGTAGAATCTGAACTTCAATTTGACAGCAGAATGGAGGGTGGCTTGGGGTGGGAAAGACCTGAGGAAGGGAGACTAATCAGCATTCTATTATAATAGTCCAGGAGGGAAATGAAGACTTGCGACAGGTTGGCTGCAATATGAGAAGAGAGAAAGAGGCATATATGAACAATGTTACAAAAATAAAATCAACAGCACTTGGATATGGAGGGGTGAGAGTGTGATAAGCTGAGGATGACACTTGGGTTGTGTGCCTGGATGACTGAGAGGACAGTGGTCAGTAATAGGGAAAGCTAAGAAGGGGGAGTTTTGGAGGAAAAATGAGTTCAGTTTTGGACATACTAAGTCCAAGATGTCCTATGGGAGATATCCAATTTGCAGTTAGTTTTGGGTAAATAGATCTGAGAATCAATCATCAGCACAGAAATGACAATTGAAACCATAGGAGCTGATAAGATCATCAAGCGAAATAGTATGTAGAGAAAAGAGGGCCTAGCACAGAACCCTGGGAGGCACACACTTTTAGTGAATATTACCTGGATGAAGATTCAGCAAAGGAGAATGAGAAGTGGTCAGACTGATAAAAGGAGAACCAGGATACAGTAGTGATGGAAACTGAAAGAGAAGAGGGTATCAAGAAGAAGAGGTTGAATATGTATCAAAAGCTGCAGAGATCAAGAAAGATGAGGACTGTCAAAAAACCATTAGATTTGGCAAATAAGAGATCATCAGTAACTTTGGGAAGAGCAGTTTTGGTTGAATGATGAGGTTGGAAGTCAAACTACAGAGAGTAAAAAAGAGAAAACCTAACCTTTCAGGGTAAAGGAAGCAGAAGCACTGATTATAGACAGCCTTCTCAAGTAGTTTAGTCACAAAAGAGAGAAGAAATAGAGGATGACAGGGAGGATGAATGAATCAGGTAAGGGTTCTTGGAATATGGAGGTGGGGGAGGCAATGTTTATAGGCAGAAAGAAAGCCAATAAACAAGGAGAGATTGAAGTAAAAGGGAGGGGATAATGGAGGAGGAAATCTGAAGAAGATGGCATGAAAGATTGTACATGTAGAGGGGCTTGCCTTAGTAAGGAGAAAGGCTACCTCTACATTTGAGACAGGGATGAAAGTGGAGGTATTTGGCAGAAGGCATCTGGGTAAGATGAAATGAAGAGGGACCTCTCACCAAATGGCCTCAGTTTTTTCCAGTAAAATATGGAGCATGGTTCTCAGCAGAGAGGCGCTGGAAAATGTAGCCATGGGAAGTTTGAAAAAGGATGAAAAGTTTTAGAAAAGTCATTGTGTTGAATGGAATGTTAGTTAATAAGGAGGAAGTAAAAGGAATGTCTTGCCATAGTGAAGCCCATTTGATGTTATTTAATATAAATTTGTAGTGGACCCAGCCTTTACAGTTTTATGATTTTCTCCAGCATGTTTTAGCAGCATGTGAGGAAAAGCAATGGCAGCAGTTGGTGGGAGTGATCCAAGGCTGAAACTCAGCAGGGCAAGACTATTGTTCAGTAGTTTTTCAGTTGTGTTTAGGTTTTTTTTTCTTTTTTGGGGGGGTGGGGGAAGACAGTGGGGTGGTTTGCCATTTCCTTCTCCAGTTCATTTTACAGATAGGAAAACTGAGGCAAACAGGGTTAAGTGATTTGCCCAGGGGTCACACAGCTAATTAAGTGTCTGAGGCCAGATTTGAACTCAGGAAGATGAGTCTTCTTGACTCCAGACCCAGCACTCTATTTATTATGCCACCTAGCTGCCCAGGGCAAGATTAGGGATACGATAAAAGGCCAAGGGACTTCAAGAGGACAGTGTGGAGATAACTGGTTCATCAAGGGGTCAATGTATGGAAGAGAGCAGTGATACATTAGGAAAGAATTGAGAGGTCAAATGATTAAAAGTCATGGTAAAGCTGGAGTTCGGGGTTTGGAGTGGTAAGGCAGAGTAAAAACAGGTTGTGATCAGATAAAGTCATTTCAGAGTTCCTGAACACGGAAGTGGCACATGTGCTGGTGATGGTAAGATCAGGAGTATTTCTGTATGTGGCTGAAGTTAAGTGGAGGAGTAGGGCATGTGAAATGGATAAATTAAGGAACTGCGAGCTTAAGGTGGTTGAGTTAACAACATGTATGTTGAATAAGGGCACAAGTTGAGAAAGACTGTGAGACAGTACTGAACTCACTAAAGAAAGGGAAGTTGCCTGAAGGCTAGAAGACAATAGGTACACAAGTGTATGAAGGGGAGTAATATAAATTAAGGCTGGAAATGCAAAACTAAGGGGCTTCGATTTTATCCAGTAAGCAAAGAAGATTTTTGAAAAATCTAGTCAGTGAACATCTAGAAAAAGAAATGGTGATTACAAAGAGCCAACAAGATTTTATAAAGGGCAGGTTATGGCAAACTAATCTGCTTTCCTTTTTTAACAATTACTTAGCAAGTAGGTAATTCAGGAGAAAGCTGTTGAATGATTTTGGCAAAGCATCTGATAAACTACTT